TCTGCAGGGCGGAGCCTGCCCCCGCCTCCGGGAGCCCGGCTGCCGCGTCCCGGGAGCAGTTCTTGCCGTGCTTGCTCATCTCGGCACGAATTCCCTCCACGTCCTCTTTGATTTGCTCGTTTTCCTTGGTGAGGTTTTTAGAAACTTCCTGAGAGAAAACATTTAAAAAGAGGGTTCATCACTGCGCTGAAGACCAGCAGGAGGTGCTGCCATCTGCTCAGAGCACAGACCTGCCAGGCCGGCTGGACACCGGCCCAGAAGCCATTGGGCCCTGAGTGTGTCCAGCCTGAGCTGAGGAGCCGTCCAGGCCCCAGGACTTGGGTCCCACATCCCAGGCCCACATCCCAGGCCCCAGATCCAAGGCCCCACATTCCAGGCCCCTGGTCCCACATCCCAGGCCCCTGGTCCCACATCCCAGGCCCCACATCCCAGGTCCCACATCCCAGGTCCCACATCCCAGGCCCCACATCCCAGGTCCCTGGTCCCACATCCCAGTTCCCACGTCCCAGGCCCCACATCCCAGGCCCCAGGTCCCGGGTCCCAGGCAATATTTCTGATGCTTGGCTCCAGCAGCCCCACTGGAGCTTGGCTTTCCCAACCGAATCGTGTGTTTAAGGTCAAGTGTGGCAGAAAGAAAGGCACTGAGTACCCCTGGGAGCTCATCCTGGGGAGGGGAGGAGAGGACAACTCCCACTGGAGGGAGGCCACACGCAGGGGGAAGAGGAGCTCTGGGCATGGCACCTGTGAGGGCCCAGGGCCCAGGAGGGGCGTGGACCGGGCAGCAGGGGCCCTTCCCGAGGGGGTGCTGCCATGGGGTCTGAGTCACAGGCAGCTGTGGACAGGCTCCGAGGTGCCCTTTCTCCTCTGAGTTAGAGCCCTGAGCTGCACTGCAGTCCACATTGTCCCACTCTGGCCGCTTCTAAGGTTCCCACGAGCCTCTGAACTGCCCATGCTCTGTCCTCCTAGGGCAGTGATGGCGAACCTTTTGAGCTCGGCGTGTCAGCATTTTGAAAACCCTAACTTAACTCTGGTGCCATGTCACATATAGAAATTTTTTGATATTTGCAACCATAGTAAAACAAAGACTTATATTTTTGATATTTATTTTATATATTTAAATGTCATTTAACAAAGAAAAATCAACCAAAAAAATGAGTTCGCGTGTCACCTCTGATGCACGTGTCATAGGTTCGCCATCACTGGCCTAGGGCCTAGGCCGTGTGCAGGGGCAGCCAGCAGGTGAGGTGGAGCCGGATTTGCTTCCTGTCTTTCTTTGACACACAGACGAGGCAGCCTGCGATGAGGCTGTGTCCTAGAGGGAAGTCAGGAGCCCGGGGGGGGGGGGGGGGGGGACACCTGGTGTGGGCTCCTGCAGGGCTGGCCACTGTGCGGACAAGAGCCCGTGGGAAAGAGGTCTTGTTTCAGGCCCAGAGTGGGTCACTCCTGACAGGGTGGGGCGGCCACGTGCTCCCATTAGGAGAGTGGATTCCTGGCCCATGGCTGTTGCCAGACCAGCGTCCACATGTGAACGGGGAAGTCCTGGCAGTTTCCCTGTGGCTGTTACGGTGAGTCAACGAGTTCATGTGAGTGGCTGTGAGTTTTCATAGAAGGTTAGAGCTGGCCTGGACCCCACAGCTCAAGCCTAACCTTTCATTGCAAGGTGAGGACATGGAGGCCCGGAGCAAGGAGGCGATTAGCCTGAGGACCTTTCAAAACAAGTGTCAGAGGAAGAGCCGAGATGGTGGCGTAGGAAAACGCCTGTACTCGCTGCCTCCCACAACCACGTCAAAATTACAACTAAATACAGAACAACCAGCATCCAAAACTGCCGGAAATCCGGCTGAATGGAAGTCCTACAACTAGAAAATTAAAGAAAGCACACCGAGACTGGTAGGAGGCACAGACTGGCTGGACCAGCACCCACATGTGGCATTTTTTAAATCAGGAGGGAGGTTGTCTCTGCGGAGGCCGCCCGTGAGGCGCAAGGGGTCCAGACCCCACCAGACCCCAGCCCAGGCTCCCAGAGCTGGGAAGAGAAGTCCCCATGACTTCGGGCTGTAAAAGAGGGGGTTGGGGCTCAGTGACACAGAGGCTGCTGGAGTTCTAGGTGTTCCTCTTAAAGGGCCCGCGCATGAACTTACAAGGTCCCGCTTCCTCTGAGCTCCGGCGCAGGGCAGTGGCTTTGGGGGGCCCAGACAGATAACGGGGAGGAACTGGACTGTCTGGCATCAGGGTAGGAACCTGGGGCAGCTTTCTCCCAGATGGAGGTGCTCACAGGGGTCATTGTTGCTGTGCTGGGACCGCTCTGGTTGCAGGGCTGACTGGCAGGGGTAATATCTGTTTGCTCCATCCTGGTGATTCCCAAAGACCCTGCCCCATCCAATTTGCATCCCGCCCAACCTGTTTGCAGTGGCTTTTGCATATGAATGGCCTGTCCTAGCTCAGGCTTCAGGCTTTGCTGAAACCTCTTAAGAAAGAGGCAGCTGGTGTCAGTGCGCCCCATTCCTATCAGCAAGAGGCCCAAGACGCTGCACTAGTAGGAGCCTGTCTTGCTTCACAGCTGGGCTTCACCTGGGCAGCTCCATGCCCAATACAAGTAGTTCCTCCAGGGTGGCCCCAGGCAGTGGCTGACTTTGTACCTCCCTGGAGGCCCTAGAGCCAGTGCACCCAGTGGACAGCTTCAACCATAGCCAATTACAACTCTACACGTCTATAAGCGACCACTCAAGGGGCAGACTCAGTGAGCACCAAAGCCCCACTGAAGCAAGTCCTGCTCCATAGGGGTGTCCCCTGCACAGCTGCTCTTCTACTATAGTCGCAGCTGATCCTCACAGCCAATTGGCCTGGAGGTCAATTCCTCCCAGCGATGCCAACAGCAATCAAGACTCAACTACAAGGCAGTGCACACAGCCCACACAGGGGCGCACCTAGAGCTCCCAGCTCAGGCGACTGGGGAGGCTGAGCCGCTGGGCCCTATAGGACACATACTTCACAAGGCCACTCTACCAATTCCAGGAGACATAGCAGGCTCTACCTAATACATGGAAGCAAACACAGGGAAGCGTCAACACGGGGAGACAACAAAACACGCCACAAATGACAGAAATGGAAGAGAGCAAACTTTTGGATACAGAGTTCAAAACCATGGTTATAAGGTTACTCATGGATCTTCATGAGACTTTCAAGGATCTTAGTGAGAAAGTCAAAGATATGAAAAAGGACCAATCAGAAATGAAGCCTACACTAACTAAAATAAAGAATCACTTTCAGGGATTCAATAGTAGAGTAGAGGATTCTGAGAATCATATCAACGATGTGGAATATGAGGAAGCAAAAAACACCCAATCAGAAGAGCAAAAAGAAAAAAAAATGAAGATAGTGTAAGGAGCATGCCAACATGTCCATTATGGGGGTGCCAGAAGGAGAAGAGAGAGAGAGCAAGATATTGAAAACCTATTTGAAGAAAAAATGACAGAAAACTTCCCCTACCTGATGAAAGAAATAGACATACAAGTCCAGGAAGCGCAGAGAACCCCAAACAAGAGGAACCCAAAGAGGCCCACACCAAGACACATCTACACTAATAAAAGAGAAACATGGTAATTAGCATACGACCGCTACCCTTTTCATTGGCTAATCAGTGAGTATATGCAAATTAACTGTCAGCCAAGATGGCGGCCGGCAGCCAGGCACTGAAGCGAGCACGAGGCTTGCTTGCTGCAGACTCCAACGTTC